TCTAAAAAGGACCAGCTCGCTGCTACACGTGAAATCATCTATTTACTACGCAGCAAACTCAAGGTGGTATTTACCCTTTTGCTGAGCTGCAGGGTGAGCGGCATTCATTAATGTGCTATATATTGATTTAATTTACAAATTCCAAGAGGGGGGCGGGAGTGCATATCGCATGGCTTGAGCAAAATCTTGACCCGGCATAGATTCTGATAGTTAATTTTGGCACGATAAGGAAAAGGTTTTTCCATCCCTGGTATAGAGCATAAACTGCAATGACGTACAATTTAGTATTAATATATTTTTTAACCTGCATCATGAGTGATGGTTTTTAATTAAATTTTATTAACTGTCAAGGATATAATTCAACTTGACGGACAAAGTGAAAGGGGATATGCCATTTGGGAATAACGTGGAGAAAGCCGATTTCGAAGTTTAAATTAAACTTTCTCGTTTCCTATTAAGTATTAGATATTAGGATAAAATATTTTTTTAAGAATAAAAGGATTATGAAGTGAATTTATTTTTCAATAAATATCTAACTTCGAAAGAAAATATAACTAGAAAAAATTCCACGCGGACCAGGCAGCAGACGGGACCCGTCTGCTGCCTGGTCCGCGTGGAATTTTTTCTAGTTATATTTTCTTTAGATTTAAACATCAAGCAGTTACATGCTTTAAAAATAATAAAAAAAATTATAATCTAACTTCGATATATAATAATGACAGAAAACAAACTTTTTAAAAACAAAACTGATGTTAATAGGTTAGTAATGTCTTATTTTTTATTTTATTGAATCACAACTTAACTTTCTAGATTATGTGATTGAATAGAGCAAAAAGATTACACATAAAAATGTTTTTCGACACAAATATGTTTTGACTGCACATTTATTTCTCTTAACAAAAAGTTAATATTCATTTCACCCTAATCGCCGAAAAAAATAATGTTACAATTTTTGCCCCAAAGCAGAACAGCTGTATTGAGCGGGTTAGCTTTCTGGGCACATTGCCACACGATAGCATATTTTCTAAGTTAAATTCTACTACTTTGTAGGAACACGCATAGATTTTCTTTATTTCTCAGACAGTTGGCACAACTATTCTTTGCCTAAAGATTCGTTTCTTTAGCTTTAGCTCAGTTTGACCAATATCATGGTAAAAAACAACATGGGAAAGATTGAATTGTAAAACTTTTACAATTCAATTAGTCGCATGTGTCGCCTTTGCAACGAAATTGATTACAATGGCTCAACGTAGACAAATATATATTAGAAGCTAACATAAAATCTTTTAAAAACTTTTAACATTTTTCTTTGGGAGATAATATTATAAGTGCAGTTAGTAGCACATAGTACTAGGCTTGTTGCTGGATGTACAGCTATTAGAATATCCTGTTGTGATCTGTTAATTGTTATTAAATTATATAAATTGCTGATCCTGACCATGCTAAGAGATACATATTTGTAGGTTATAGTTTGTTACTGTACTATTGTTAATTAATTTACATACATAGACTTTAACCTGTTTTGTGTCTTTACAAATAAATAAATATAAATGGCCAAGTGCAAGTGCATCCACACCGTAGTAGGGATAATAAATCACGTTTCTTCTTCGAGTATTCATCTTTAAGCATTTTTTTATTCTGTGTTATAATGGCAATAGAAATACACATTTTATAAAACTTATAACTGCAGTGAGCTATTCTGTAAGCACAAACTCACTTTTCACCGCGGAATTCGCCGGTGTGATCTGAAATTTATTTGAAATTCGTGTTCTTATTTTAAATCACACTAGGGATGTTCGATATCGATTTGATTAATCGATTAATTGTTTGTAAAATTTTGCGCATTAATCGATTAATCTATAAATTAAAATAATCGATTAATCGATTCGCAATGACCTTCATTATGGTCTTGTCAGTTCATACATAAACAATGCCTAAACATGAAACACGTCTCAAAAATCATCATAACAAGCTTCGACAGCCGACAGCTTTGTTCATACAATACCCACTGTTACTTTAGTCTTTAAAACCATCTCTGTCTATATGTAATAATGTATAACGTTTATGCAGTTGAAGCTACGTATGTTTCTTCTAGATGTCAAACTGGAACAAAATGTTCATGGTGGCAAAAGACCAGTCATTAGTCATTTATTCCATAAAAACAATATTACATTGTAATCCACGCGGACCAGGCAGCAGACGGGAATCAACCCGCACCCTTCGCAATCGAATGCACTGACCAATTATGCTACCGCGGCCCTCACGGACCGCGTCGAAATTCTTCTAGCCATTTTTAAGTTACAAGGCAGCGCCATCTCTTCGCATTATAGGTAACCCACAATGTCAAATGAGTACTTTTACAAGTATTAAACATTTGAAAGAAGAAATAGCAATTATAGTTATAATTTTTATTATTTTAAAGCATTTAACTGCTTGATGTTTAAATCTAAAGAAAATATAACTAGAAAAAAATCCACGCGGACCAGGCAGCAGACGGGACTCGAACCCGCACCCTTCACAATTCGGGCGAATGCACTGACCAATTATGCTACCGCGGCCCTCACAAACCGCGTCGAAATTCTTCTAGCCATTCTTAAGCTGCAAGGCAGCGCCATCTCTTCGCATTATAGGTAACCCACAATGTCAAATGAATACTTTTACAAGTATCAAACATTTGAAAGAAGAAATAGCAATTATAGTTATAATTTTTATTATTTTAAAGCATGTAACTGCTTGATGTTTGAATCTAAAGAAAATATAACTAGAAAAAATTCCACGTGGACCAGGCAGCAGACGGGACTCGAACCCGCACCCTTCGCAAGCCGGGCGAATGCACTGACCAATTATGCTACCGCGGCCCTCACGGACCGCGTCGAAATTCTTCTAGTACGTATAGCGTATTAGCCTCAGTGCTTTGGTAGATACGTTAAAGCATTTCTCGCTGATCTATCTCCACTCACCAATCCGCAGTTGATCCGCAGTTGATCCGCGTTAATGACCAGTTCTCACTATTTCGTCGATAAGGGAGGCCTGTGGCCAAGCAGCGGCTTGTACCCTTAGTACAAGTTTGAGCTCACGAAAACTGTCATAGTTTTCGTAATTATAAATTATTTTTCTATGTCAGTTATGGTGAAAACTTACCAAATATACTAACTTAAAATTTAAGAAGACGCTAATTGATTTGAAATGATTTAATGATAGAATTTAAACACTGTTTATTTGTATTGAAACGAAAACAATAAAATCAGTACCCTTAATGCCAGTGAAGCTCACGAAAACCATTATAGTTTTCATTATTGTAAAACTCGTACTAAGGGTACCGATGATTATAATGACAGGAAACAAAACTCATGATTGGAGCATAAGGTACTATTGTAGAAAGCTAGCATCCAATTTTCGAGCTTATGTAAGCCATTGTAACATGATTTTCATTATTTACTTAGCTGAATTATGATAATTACCATGAATTGCAATAACAATTATAATTATCTTCAAATACTGATTTCACTATAAAGGACCCAAGTTCTCTTCAAACTATTGAAATACGAAAAAAAACATAAATCCTTAGATCGACTTGTCATTAGAAAATTCTGACTTTCATATGCTATTGAGTCACAAAGACCAACATCAAATCGACATCATCAAAGTATCCAAGGTAGCATCTTCTCATTCTACTTAGAAGTTGTATGACCCTCGCATGCCCTCTTACCTCAAGGAACATTTTCAATTTCTTGGTGGGGGCTGCAATTGTTTTGCATTAAAAAAACGATAACGTGTTAGATATCTCTAACCTCTCACCCGCTCTTATGTATTATTATTATACAGGGTGTAGAAATAACCTACGACAGAGACTAAAACTACGCATTCTGTGCACTCAAACAAGTGATATTACAAAATATTATAGGTGGGAATCATTTGTATTTTTAAGTAAAAAAATATTTTTTTTTCCAGTACGCAATGTATGCTACTGTGGTGCTACGCAAAGAATGTGCCTGTGTTTATTTGTGTGCGTGTGTGTAAGTGCGTCGATAAAAGAGTTTCTAAATAATGTTTTGAAAATTTTAATGTATAAATCTTGAAAATAATATTGTGACTTTGACCTTTAATATCCCCATAGCCATAAACTTCCCAAGTATGGTCCAGAAAAAAAAATGACCTTCATGAAGTGGAAAACACAGGCCAGGTGTTTGACTTCGTTAAAGAATTTTTTACACCCTGTATATGGCATTTTTTTAAATAGTCTACCAGATTTTCTCCTACTTATATCCAAGTCTGCTGTATCTTTAGACATAATAATGCATTATATGTATGTGTATATGATTATTCTTTTCAAGAAAAATATATTTATTAACTCTTTGTTGTATCTTGCTAGCATACTACAACTTCCTCTTCGTTTAGCTATCCTTTACCGCAAAGGTTGTTTGGAAGAGGTCACTTAAAACGATAAGGTCGCCTTTGTCCACATTATGTTATTGTTTTGCTTTTTTGTATTCTTTTGTGTGTGTGTGCAATAAAGAATTCATCTATCTATTGTTTCCGATGCATCAACCTGCTAAGAATTAATGCATATTTGCTATCCATTTGATGGAGTGCCCGATTGGGGAAGTTACCTCCATCTTACAGCAGACCAACTTTATCTTTACTTTAGCCGGCAAGGTGAGGATGGTTGGTGTAGCAGTTTATAACTGCTGTACCAGCTATCTTCGCGTTTGGACTTTATCACCACTTAACATGAGGTAAGGTAGAGTCATTTGATAACCTCGCTATAAAAAAAAGACCATAGAAAAAGTAAAGTTCCAGGGCTTCACGGGGCAGAGGATGGGGTAAGCAGCGATGCACATGATGGGTACTTCGGTGTTGGGTATTTGATAAAAATAGTCGTCCATATAAATAGAGTAACATCTTTTATCCATATGGGAAAAGAATAGGTTTCTCTTCTATTTACCGTGCAAGTTGATGATGAAACAACTGACGCGATTGGGAATCAAACAACAAAATTTGACAAAAATCATTTAATTTTTACAGAAAGCGATAGTGGTCCTCATACACAACTGATTTTGACACTACATTTTCCCATAGGTTTCTGAGTGAAACAGAAAATATAATTGTCACCTTCAAAATATTATTATTCTTTTGTAGCTTAATATAGCCTAGTTTAAAAATAAACAGCAGCATTTAATACACATCATTTTAAAAAAAAAAACAATAATATTACGTGTATGTATAAATCAAAAAATTACAATTCATAATTATAGTAAAAAAATCTTTCCATTGTTAATGACTAGGTACTAACGGTAACGGAGTTTATTGCTCTTTGTGTCTACTGGTTTTCAAATTAGAAACTACATTTAGAAAACTCTCAATAAGGAAGTCTCCATAACAATTATTAGTATAAACTTTTTTATTAACATTCAAACTACCACTACGAATATAATGAATTAATTTTGAAAGTGATAGTTTGTCAGCTAGTTAAATTAAACATATATTTCTTGAATCGTTTACTCCACTCATGTAATTGACAAACTCCAGAGGATAATCTTCATTACTACTTAGTTACATAATATTTCTTATTTAAGCATTTTATTAACTAAATATTTACTAATATAGCTTCAATATTTACAAGCTTAGTTACGAAACTCAGTCTATATTTATTAATACTTTCATTATTTTAGCTATATCTTAAATTAGGATTAACTCTTTTCATCCTACGCTAACAGATATGTCGAGTCAGATAATATTATTTCAACTACACAATGTTTGTCTTACCCAAAAACAATTACGTTCTACATTTTTACGATTCGTTCGATCAAATAACAATGTCTAAATAACTTGACCGTTGAAATAACAACTTCGATCCAGTAGCACATTTCAATATTTTCTGTGTGATCTCAACAAATCACGCGATAAAGTTCACAAAATTGTAAGAATCAAAGATATTTTTATAAATTTTAACTTATTTTATTATTTGATACATAAAAAATCACTAGGAGTAGGTAAAAAAATAAACCAACAAATTTATAAGTGTTTTTTCCACATTTTCAAATATTCATCTACTTTATTTGATTTCGAATTTAAATTTCTAGTTCATTTTAGCTTTCATAACAAGATCGTTATTATTTACCTAGCTAAATTATGATAATTACCATGAACTGTAATAACAATTAGAATTATCTACAAATACTGACTTGATAAAAAAAGGACCTACATTCATTAACAGTTCTTTTCAAACTAATGAAATACGAAAAAATAAAAATCCTTTGATCGGCTTGTCTTTAGAAAATTCTGACTTTTATATGCTATTGAGTCACAAAGACCAACATCAAAGCGGCATCATCCAAGTGATTGTAAGGGAAGGTATAATTAATTCATTTTCTTAGTTGCTCAGAGCGAAACATCAGCCCCGAGATGCTATCTTGATTAAAATTACTAATGAGTACAAAAAACCGTAACAGTACCGACCCTTCGAGACTGCTCTGTTGTAATCTTGTAACCTGAAATCTAAAAACGTTCGCTAATTAGACAGCAAACAAGGTCTTTCTTTTTAAAATAAACCTTAATAAGGTAGGCCGAAATACAAAAGGTAACCCAAATTATGGTCCCAGCTTTTAAATTATAAAATAATATCGGTTCCCACATTATTTAGCTCATTATTCAGTAATAGTGTTTTAATTAAATCCTCCTAAATTCTCTCATGAAAATTGTAAATGAAGTTCTACTCCGAAATTTCGTAAGAGAATTTAACATAATTCAATATATATGTATATAGGTACAGTATTGATAGATATCAGTTTGAATTACGTATCCATGAAGAATGGATATTATAATGTCGTCGCAATAGGTTGTCTGTGTGAAATGTGACGTACGTGATCCATTTAACTGGAAATAATTTTAAGGCTTATACGCACCTTGTGTACCGAATGGAGTGCTTTCCGATGATTTGTCAGCAATCACGTTTAGCCTCTGCACAACTGTCAAAGACACAAAGTTATTGAAAAAAGGTCATATTAAACAGGCCTTTTCTTTAATCTCGAAAAATATATCATCAGTTATTCGCGCAACTGAAACGTGTTATAAATTTTCCCCTTCCTCCTCCTAGTGCCACCAATTCGTTCCGCCTTTGGCACGAGAAAGTAAAGTAAGTAAATTGATATCGCATACATTTGGTAACCCTTTGCTGCCATAACTTTATTTCCTAAAATTATTGAGCACTAAAATATTGAAACGTAATCATGCAATTATCATATGTTTATAATGCATGTATGTGTGTCATTTTTTTATGTCAATAGAATGGCAAACAAGCATACGTCCTGCCAGATCGTAAGCAGCTAGCTGCCTTAGCCTAAAGACGTATGCGATACCAGAGTACTCGTATTACTCGCGCCGTTGCTTACTATGTCTCTGTCCTGTACCTCCATCAAAAAACATAATAAATCCTCCTTGACGACCTCCGTGGTCGAGTGGTTCGTACGCCGGGTTTCATGGTGTCGCCGACTCGAGAGGTCCCGGGTTCGAATCCCGGTGGGGGCAGATGTTTGTGTGATGAATACGAGCATTTGTACTCCAGTCATGGATGTTTAATATGTATTTATATAAATATACTTATATATGTACAGTATATGTATTCTATCCGTTACCCTAGCATCCCATAACACAAGCCTTATAGTGCTTACTTTGGGGCTAGGCTAATTGGTGTGAGTGTCGGTAATATTTATTTATTTATATGTATTCTATCCGTTACCCTAGCATCCCATAACACAAGTCTTACAGTGCTTACTTTGGGGCTAGGCTAATTGGTGTGAGTGTTGGAAATATTTATTTTTTTTATTATATTTATCTTCACAGTGGCAATGGGACGAGCCACTCTATTTGCGTCTTCAGAGTGATATTTTAGCATCCTTTGAAAGCGCCAGTGAGCGTGCTGGCCTTCTTGAGGTCTTTCAGGCAGAGTCTGGTTACTGTCTGCAAACTCTACCTTCAGCTCGTATCGGGACTTTGCTTGACAAGATCACTCTGTCTCTCGCAATATCGCTTAGACTTGGCGTCAAGACAAATCATCCCCATCGCTGTCGTTGCGGTACTCGCGTCGGTGAGTTGGGACACCTTGGCCTCTCATGCCAAATGAGCGCTGGCAGAGTCTCCCGCCACGTCTTCATCAATGACGTCATCCGCTGAGCTCTTGTCGCTGTTAATGTACAAGCGGCCCTTGCGCCTAACGGCATCTTTCGCGAAGATGGCAAGAGACCTGATGGTATGATGCTCATTCCTTGGAAGCAGGGTGGTCCTCTTGTATGGGACGCAACTTGCCTAAATACGCTTGCTCCGTGCCATACAGGTAGTACCTCCCTAGCCGCAGGAGCGGCGGCGGCCTCTGCCGAGTGCTCAAAGCGGCGCAAATATTCAGCTCTCAATGAGAACTACATATTTGTGCCGTTTGGTGTTGAGACTATGGGCCCATGGGGTCCAAGCGCTCGTTCTCTTTTTATGGAAGTGTCACAGAGGCTCACTGAGGTGACTGGTGAGCAAAAGGCTGGCAACTATCTCAAGATAGTTGCCAGCAGTTGGATGGCAATGTTGCCAGCCTATTGGGCACCATTCCTGACGGCGGCGCTGGGAGTGACTAATTTTTATTTTATAAATTTGAGACATCAAGTAGATTTAAGTGTTTGTTTTTTAAATGTATCTATTGTTTTAAAAAATAAATATATAATCTAAAAAAAAATAAGGCATCGGTTATTATTGCTGTAAGACGAAATGCCACTGAATTGGGAATTTTAAATTATCCTTTGTGGCATACGGTTCAAAGGTTTTAAGACCATCTGAACATTTTCAGATTTCGTAAGTTAATAATGTGCTTTGTTATTTTTTTGGTAATCGAGTTTTGCCAAATGACTCTTAGGCAATCGGAACTAAGCGACACTTACTTTAAATTCTTATTATAGTATGAAAATAAAACTGGTACAATACTAATAATCAAAATATCTGTATCCTAATTTTTAAGAGATATTTGAGTACCTGTCGCGTAATTTACACTGAAGGTTAAAGGAGCTTATTTATACATCAGGACGCCATGACAACAGATGGGTGGAGTGAACTTGACGTATGTAGAGACATACGATCATGCCGTATCCTTATCAAAGTTACAGATCATTGAAAATGGATAAACAAACTTTGAACTGAACATCAAAGAATATGTTATCTAAATACATACCCATTATAAAATAGCTTTTTTCAAAACACATTGAAAATACATAAGCGCAGCAAGCGGCATAACTCTTAATTTCACATATTTATTGGTTATGGCAGTGCTTTATCTAGGAAAATGCTGAGTAAATGAAGATAGGTACTCGCACACGAACTTAAAGAGAAGCCCAGATAAAGTACGTTTTTCAAACATAAACTCACCATTGTTATTTTCCAAGACTGGAGGCGACATAGCTGAAAAGCAACAGGGTATTTTTAGTATGAGAGCATCGCAAATTATCCCACATTACCTTACCACATTTGCAGGAATGCAAAATATATATGTATGTACTAAAGTTTTACGAGAAATTTTCTTTCCTTTCTCTAAAATTAAAGATACTGTAATGTTTTGTTCCAAAACTAGAAAAACAATGCTAATAATAAAATCCAAGAACTGTTCTTTGTACTTGTAGCATGAGAGATCACATCCTTGAGACTCCAATATCATCTGCATTGCTCACACTTTATTTAGATTAAAAAGTAGTCTACAGAAAGATACAGTGACATGTTTGATTATTTTGTCTTTTAGTTCGTTTTCTGCAGTCGTATTCTGTTTTATATTGGATGTTAAGAAAAAATTGCAAGATTCATAAATCCGAAACATTTTACTTATAGAATACCTTAAACAACGTGAACATGCAAAACAAACAAACCTCAGTAATGCATATAATAGGGAATATACAAAAAAAAAATTTTTTTTAATTTTTTTCTAGAATCTTTATTGTCATTACGTTATACTTAGAAGGTATTTTATATGTTTATTTATTATTTAAACCAAAAAACTATCATATAGAAATTAAAAAATAAGGGAGGAAATTTAAAACTTACAAAATGCGGCACCATTTTTCAAAACGAAATGTGACATCAATGGTCACGTCATTGGATTTAGCGGCGTCGATATTCATACTTATATAACAAATTAATTTTGCTTAGAATTTATTTTTCTATCGATTTCTCGAGTTATGTTATTAAAATAATTTTCGCCCCCCCGGGAAGGGATATAAAGCACTTACTTTACTTTACTTTAGGGATAAATAGCACTTACGGTAAACTTTGATGCTACCCTCCGTGTCCCCTAACGAATTCTTAGAGACGCATTTATACGCCCCGTAGTCGGAAGTAGTAATTCTGCGTATCGCAAGTCGCAGCATCGACCGAAAAGAGCTTTCCATCTTCTGAGGCTCCAAGCCACCTCCTATAAGATAAATATTTGTACTAATATAATGCCATTACATTGAATTAAAAAAAAGGAGTTCGCCTGGCAGATGTGAATTATCGAAAACTTTTGTTTAAGAAAAACAAAGAAAGAATAAAATGAGTACTAAAGACATACCTATATATGTGTTTAGAACAGGAAATACCTAGAACTTAAATAGTAAAAATATTTTGGAAGCCCCCGAACTTTAATTGATACGTCGCTCGGAGTGATAAACTCTCATTAATGCTGACCAAAATACGGTGCATATTAAAAGCTCACTGCTTTAGCTTGTAGGTATTTAGGTTATTAGAATGGCCACTCAACACTTCAACAGCCGGTGTCACACCCGCCACAATATATTTTCTGACTAGAATAGACTTGGAACTCGGCCAAAGTTATGCCTGCGATCGTGAAGGTTAAGCAGCTTTCACAATGGTCGGTCATTGGATGGGTGACCAAGAACTTATTATCTCGAGCTTTGGAAGGCACGTTAAGCCGTTAGTCCCGGCTGCATCTGCAATCGTTAGCACCCACTAATCCGCACTGGGCCCGCGTGGTGGGTCATATCCCAATCTCCCTATTCTATTCATAAGGAATGTCTGTGGGCCTCAGCAATGGGGACATAGACTGTTACATTTTATAAAATAAAGTTTTTTGTAAAGTAATGCTACTTTAATGCTTTTAGCCAAAAAAGAGACCGATACACCATCTGTTGAATTACCCGCGCTTTTAGTAGGAGTATATCAATGGTCAGAGTCAATTCAGAAACAATTGTGGGCGATAAGCTGGCAACCTGTTATTACTCTTTCCAAACAACAACATACATCGGAGCGGTAAACGTGGTTTTGAGGTGTAGTTATCAATATGATATTTATAGTCATTTTACCGTACACATATTTTGACTGTACTGTATCTGTATACGGTTTCTGCTTTAATGACAGGGGCATTCAGGGTTAGTGAAAGGAATATTTTAAAACTCGGAAATCATTCAGGCTAGCTTGTTGCTAACATTTCTGTAATATGAAAATCTATGCCATCAGTTCGTAAAACTGATGACATTATGTAAAGCAAAAACGGATATCTTTTCTCATTTGATTTTGTAAAAGGAAATACAAATATTCAGCATTTAATAAGTCTGATATTGTTAAGGCAAAATTTCACACAAATATAGAATCTTGTATCAGACAATAAGTACAGACACGAAAAAGTGGTGACATAATGGAATATTGGGTAACACTAGGTGCTTTTATATTATTATTGTGTAGCACGTGATCGAAGTACCGATGAACGATATTGTTCATCGAAAAGATAGATTCATAGAAGCATATCAAATACCTATATAGGTTTGCGATATGCTTTCATGTTTCACTACGATTAAACATGGGGGTTCAGTATATGCTTATGCGGCTGTGCTAGCAACGAAGATAAATCGTTAGATAACATCAGCCCGCATTCGCTGATAAATATAAGCCTCTAGGTCCTAACTGATTGTAAATTAACTTTCTGATGTACAAACTATTATCCTGTTATTGCCTCCGAGATTTATTTTTCTTTACTATGTAGTACCCGCAGTACGACCAGCCAGTCCGCACACAGTTTAGAGCGTTGAAAAAAAGTGGGAGGTATCCCCTCTCTTCACCATCGCTGCCGCCGCTGCTCCTCGCGTCGGTTCGATGCACATTTCATTAAGTGCGCGCGCCACGACCGCACGCAGTTTAAACACAAACTTTTTTTTAACGCTTCTATTGAACTTTTATTTTGTTTAAATAAACTGTCATTTTATTTTAACTATTATGAATTTGCTTGTCTTTTCTTTGCCCCATCATATATAAAGATACTTAGCTCTGTGCTTACTGACTTATAATTAAAGATTTTTTTATCTTTTCAGTACACCTATTCTATTAATATATAAAGGTGGAACTCTGAACGATTTGGGGGTACCTTAATTATTAGAAGCAGGCTACATTTTTCCTGGATGACAATATACTGTTATTTGTTATGTGACACGTTTTAGCGGATCGCTAAGAGCCGATATTCTATAGGAACTAACCATTAATTTATATATATTACGATTGTCTAACCAATTAAGGTTTCATTATAAATTATGAATAGCCAACTCGGGCTCAGAAAATTATGTGGGCTTATAGTTTAGTGCTAAACTAGAATTCGATTTTCGACTACCTCCAAAGAAAAGTTAATAAAATGCTATGCGAAAAATAATACAATAATAATAATAGTAACTAAACCTTTGTTCGTGATTTTACAAGATTTGCCAAACTCTATAGCAGCTTGCCAAGCCATACATAATACCTATGTATTAGGACACATACTTATACTTTTTATTTAAGCAATCAAAAAAAGTACTTTTTGATAGAAAGCGACAACATCAATAAATCCATGCCTATTGGAAATAGCTGTTATGATAATTTACTATGAACGGAAGGTGAAATACTCCTTTCTACTAACCCGACTTGGTGAGGAATACCTATATTTCATGACTTAATAGAGATTCGATGTAGACGCGTTTGCTTAATATAGCTATCGGCAGCCCTTTTAAGCGCTCCCATCATTTGAAAATCAAAAATTAATACATATTCATACATACACAACAAATAAGTATTTCAATACATCCCCACCGCTGAACCGACCGATAATTATATTATTTCATAATATAAAAATCCTTTCGTCTGTTTTCAAGAATACACACCCACTCATCGACCTCTTCCCGTTTATCATAGAGATGCGCACTCCATGCGACAATCCTTCTACATACAAGCAAAACCCAAATCCGCTGTAGATGTTGATGATCTTAATATCAAATAGTACCAAAAATCCATATAAATATTCAAGTAGCCTAAAAAGTGGGAATATTGAACAAAAATCGGGTTGATTTTTATACTTTTATCTTTTTATTAATTCATTGACTTTCCCAGTAAATGTTAACAATTTACTGCATCGTACGGAACATTGAATAATCGTCACTCAACCATTTCTTTGTACTAAAAGATTAGGATCCAGGAATGAAAAGATTTTTCAAAGGGTCTCTTAAATTTAAATCAACTTTTCGCTTTCACAATGCAACTTGGATAAATAAGATAAATACAATTATAAAGTGACAAGGCAGTTTATTCTGTTATAAAAAAATCTTTAGTAAAATTTCCTAGTTTTCTTCACACAAGGATAAGATAATTATTGTTACAACAAAATTAATAAGCCTATTTATTTAGGACAGCTCAGACAGTGCTGGGCCTATCCTTATTTTATAGTAATCCGAGAATTTGCTCTTTTGTTACTCTGGGTGTTTATGTCACAGCTATCAGACCGAAGTCTGAGACGAGATTACATGTAAAAAAAAATCTACTAATATATAAAAAAAACCACAAAGTTGCTTCATCAAACACCTTTGGTCGATAGAAAAAGCAGACTTTGCAGAAGAGTAGTGTTAATGAAAGTTCAAATCTAGCAATCTTGTTGATAATAATTAATTATTAAGGCATGTTGGTACAAAATATCTAAAAGCAATCATGAACATGATTTATTGTATTTTGTATTGGATAATATCCTATTTATTTCTTAAAAACATTGACTTTTACTCTCTGAACATCTACATAGTAAAGAAAAATAAATCTCGGAGGCGATAAAAGGATAATTGAATGATCAAACGAACTTACCTAAGTGAAGTTAGATCTGAATTGTGCTGTTATCGCCGAAGAGATTTAGAATCCCGCCACTGTTATATTTTTTACCCCCTAGTTATCTAGGATAACATCGTCAATGTTGTCTCTTATTCTCTAAAACATATGAGCATCGACCCGATGACCAGCGGCGGCAGGGCGTGGTGAAGACAGGGGACACCTTCCACTTTTTTTTACTGCGCTCTAAACTTCTAAACTGTATGCGGACTGTCTAGTATTACTGAGGGTGCAACATAGTAAAGAAAAATAAATCCCTTCGGCGATAACAAGATAATTCAGATCGAACTTCACTTAGGTAAGTTCATTTGATCATTCAAATATACTTACACATCGAACACGATTGAATCCTTGAAGCCGAATCGTGCTTGTCTCGAGGCTGATCGAAATTAAATCATCTATGCCAAAATTTAATGAAATCTTATTTTATGATTTTCCAATAGCTTTCAAGTGTTTTCTCAAGGCGTTAAATTATATTGATATTGATGTTTTATTACAAGGGAGGGGATCATCTCGTAAAGATTACGTAAGTATATATACATGGTGTTCTTTTGCAGTTAATGATATCTGATAAAAGTTAATTTTTTGTAGTATATTATTGTGATTTATGTATGTATAAAGTAAATGTTACATAACTGAGCAATAAAGGAATTTGTCGTTAATATTATCGCCGCATAAGCAAATTTCGAGAAAATCCGTAAACCGCAAGTAAACAAAATAGTCATCATTCAAGGGAAAGTAAAAATAGGCCAGCTTATTTATTTCTTAGAGCTCTCTCTCAAAATACTCTGAAGAAAAATCCAGATGGAGAACTGAGTAATCCAATAAAGTGTATATATGTTAATGTGCGAAGTCGAAGGGTGCGGCGCAGGACCTACAAGGTGTGGAGATCCTTAGCTAATATGATGATGTAGATCTACTAGTAACTCGAGGAGATCGATGGCGCAGGTGGTTAGCGCGTTCGGCCTATGATCGTAGAAGTTAAGCAACTTTCGCAATGGTCGGTCATTGGATGGGCGAACAACGACTTATTATCCCCCGTGCTTTGGAAGCTACATTAAACCGTTGGCCCCAGCTGCATCTGCAGTTATTAGCACCCACTAACCGCACCGCACCGACCCGCGTGGAGTGAAACGAAGCAATCTGTCTATTCCATCCACAGGGAAGGCCTGCGCCCCTACAGTGGAGACATTAATAGGCTGATGATGATGAAGACTAGTAACTCACCAACGGGGACAATTTCCCCGGTCTCCCTGCTCCAGTAGCTGACCGGCTTGGGGTAGGCTTCTGTCTCACACTCCAGCACCAGGTCCGAGCCGAGTGTGGCGCCGACCAGTTGATTCCGGATTGTTATGACAGGGGGGACTGCATAACGACGGATATTATATTACGGTTCATTAAAACTTTCTCCTTCGTTTAAAAACTGTTAATTAAGATGGCTTGATAAAAATATTTTCAATGCCTTGATTATAAACGTTTTCCTCAAGAAAAAACATTTTTACTAAAGACAACAAAGAAAACAATTGATCCCATTTTTAGGTTTTTCGCATATATCTCGAAAACTATGCATCCTAGCGACATGAGACTTTCACAAAAGTGAAAGCTGATTAAATTTGCTACAAGTCTTATTCAGTCAAATTTTTTGATATCTTGTATAGTTTTCGAGATATCCGCTCTTGAAAGTCTGTAATTATGGAAAAAAAATTTGTTCCCATTTTTGCTCTATTTGACCGGATAACTCTTCAACAATGCACCCAAAAAATAAATGCCGGCCGTAGGGTTGTAGAGCATTAAATTATCTTCAATAATAGAAACAATTGCCTTTTTTTTATTTAAGGACAAAATTGTTAGGGTAGTAGACGTATGGGGGCGGTACGGTGGGCACTAGGCCGCGTACTCAGCCCCCACGCGCGGGCCGTCCTGCGCACGTCTGTGGGGTCCTCGCGATACCCCGGGAGACCCCTGCCGCGGAACCTCGGCAAGGCCGGGAGGCTGCTAGGTGCGGAGACGCGGAAGAATCCCTAAACGGGGATTTCGCGGCTTCGCACTAAGCAGCTTAGAGGGTGTTCGCAGGGTTTTTTAGCGGATATTATGCCGTAAAGCGCCCGTAAGGGTTACGGGGTCCTCAGTGGGCAGCCACTGCTGGGGCTCGTAAGGCTTGCGGGAGCCAGGTGTGAGGTCCATAAGTAAAAAAGAAAGTAAAATAGTGTCATTGAGAAACTGTAATTATCTAATAATAATATCTGTAATAATGATATCCGCTCTTGAAAATCTGTAATTATAGAAAAAAAAAATCGCTTTACATTTATGCTCTATTTGACCGGATAACTCTCGGATAACTTTTCAACGATGCACCGATGTCTAAATAGCACACATGCTTATTTTAGAATATGTACTTGTTGGCCCACTGACCAGGTTCTTCACACTTAATCATGAAAATAAGTTAAAAAAACTGTAAGAGTTAACTACTTTATGCAAAATGGTTATTATAAATTAGATGATTATTTAAATGATAAGATTGTCTGGTGTTGTATTGGTCCAGCTCAACACAAAAAGTAGTATTAAGAATAATTAAAATTATAAAACAGGACATTAAAAAAAATTGAGACGGTAGGGCCCTGTGCCTCTGGTTTTTTTTCGGTTCTCATTGGCTATACAGGTACGAATACGGCAGCAGTTTTAGATACAATTCACTATGACGTGCAAAAAGAGATTTGTAAAAAAATCCAATATAGTCAATTTCTTGCTCTTTTGGGGTGGGAAGAACCTTGATCCTCGTCTTCGTTTACATTTTCTTTTTCTGTGTCATCTTCTCCATCGGAACCCTGTAGGGAAACGGTCAGAGGATCCTCCTGTTCTTCTTCACCTTCGGAGTCAACTTGAGGGACCCCATTCAAGCAGTTCCCCTGGCAATTTTGGTACGCTGGGGAACATTTGAGGCTTGCTTTTTTGCAGCCTCACTTCGCGCTTGCACAGTCTTTCCTGCATCGACAGAAAATCGAAAAATCATATAATAGGTATTGTTGGTCGTGAACATGGCCCCCGGCGGTGTAGACACCTACTTATTTAGGTAACGGCCAACACTGCCAGTTTTCTTACCGGGCGACGCAGGCACCCCCTTTAGTCAATACGTCTACTACCCCCTTTTTTTTATACGCAGGCAAAAAATACTATTTACAGACGACGGCGCCTTTAAGAGGCACACCGCCGAATGGACCTCACACCTGGCTCCCGCAAGCCTTACGAGCCCCAGCAGTGGCTGCCCACTGAGGACCCCGTAACCCTTACGGGCACTTTACGGCATAATATCCGCTAAAAAACCCTGCGAACACCCTCTAAGCTACTTAGTGCGAAGCCGCGAAATCCCCGTTTAGGGATTCTTCCGCGTCTCCGCACCTAGCAGCCTCCCGACCTTGCCGAGGTTCCGCGGCAGGGGTCTCCCGGGGTATCGCGAGGACCCCACAGACGTGCGCAGGACGGCCCGCGCGTGGGGGCTGAGTACGCGGCCTAGTGCCCACCGTACCGCCCCCATACGTCTACTACCCTAACAATTTTGTCCTTAAATAAAAAAAAAAGGCAATTGTTTCTATTATTGAAGATAATTTAATACTCTACAACCCTACGGCCGGCATTTATTTTTTGGGTGCATTGTTGAAGAGTTATCCGGTCAAATAGAGCAAAAATGGGAACAATTTTTTTTTCCATAATTACAGACTTTCAAGAGCGGATATCTCGAAAACTATACAAGATATCAAAAAATTTGACTGAATAAGACTTGTAGCAAATTTAATCAGCTTTCACTTTTGTGAAAGTCTCATGTCGCTAAGATGCATAGTTTTCGAGATATATGCGAAAAACCTAAAAATGGGACCTTCAAGCCCCCCCCCCCCCCTCCCCCCCGGCTTAAGGGCTACGGGCGGGGACTTTTGATATGTTTACCTCCTAACTAGTCCTAACAAAGTCACGAAGTCAAAAATTGTGTTCTAAGCAATTCCCTCTATACCTTTTCGTTGCCTGGACTACAATTAAATACGGCCTCGTCGGTTTTCGTAATTATATTTAATAATCAAAACTGCACAATAAATTCAACAAATAATTCGTATTCGTATTCCTTTTTCAAAAAAAAGATGTATAATGCTTTATATACAAACTCAATGGTGTAAACACAGATGTAGTTCAGTATAAATTTCGGTAAGTATTCCAAATTGAAATTACATTCTCCCCCTAGAGGATGAATGAAATTCAGTACAATTTTCTTTCCCTGTTTTTAACAGATTAAAAATGACTATTGTTATTTTCGCTTTTTGTGGCATAGAATGTCACTCTTTTGAGCAAGTGGTACGAAAATAAAATTGTTAATATACATGAAGCTTACGACAAGTTAGTTCATTTGTTTACTGCTTATTTTTATTTAACTTTATCATTGGAACGAATACAAATAATGACCCTTGACTGAGTACCCTGATCCTCTACCTTGTTGGGCTTTGACACTGTTTTACTAACTACTGTTACACAGTATTATAAAATATAGTCATTTGGACACACTCTTTTGCAAGAGAGTTTATTCGCTTAGAATAGAGCTAAATTTCCATTCAGAATTCCACTGCGCCTTTCATTTTTTAAAGTCTAACCTATTAATCTGGTATGATTTCTCAAATTTTTAAGAGAAGAGGGATATTTTAACTAATATTAAACTTACATTCAACAGTGAGTATAATCCTCTTGCTGACTGTTGGCGGCACGCCATTGGAAGCTATGCAGAGATATGCGCCCGCGTGCTGTCTGCTCACCCTGCTGATGTTAAGAACAGCTCCTTCTAGCGAAGCAACTGTGGAAATTCATCACTGTTAAGTTTCAATAATTTATTTTTCATATAAAAGTTATGACACAGGTAAATTATCAACTAATAAAAATAACACAGTAACACCGAACTATGTAAAAATCTGTATTTCGTCATCCAGCACCCCCATCCTTGCACACACCAATAATATTACGATGTCAATTCTCAGTTTTGTTCTTAAAAACTAGTAACAAATGAATAAGTATATAGGTATATTTATATTAATTATTATACTATTAACAAAGTTTAAGATGATTTAGTAATTAATCTTGTTTTTTTTAGTCCTAAAGAAGAAAAGAAAAGAAATCTAGTATCTTATAATAGTAAATAAGTGTACTGTACCCCTAGCACGAACCAATATCGAATTCGTATCATTTGCGAATCCGAAATGTCATTGTCAAATGTGTACTGATTTTTAGTTCTCGTTACGTACTTTGTGCCGCTGCTTTTCAAGTTTCCATGCAAAAGACTTGACATTTCGGTTTGCAAACTATTCTAATTCGATAATGGTTCGTGCTACGGTTACTGGTCTCTTTGTGTGTAGTATGAATATGAGTGTAGGAATGTGAGTGTGTTCCAAAAATTTTATTTTATTTGTCTATACATATAAAAGGACATTGTTCGTTCCCCATACATTGAATGCCCTATAACGCCCAGCAATGAGAAAATGCTAGTTGTGTTCGGAATCATTCATAAACTCTAATTAAGCATTTGTTGAGATACGGAAAACTTGAGGAACCGTGGCCTACTACAGAATGTATTTGATTTTAAGGTTATAATTATTATACTTAATCGTAAAAGATGTACACTTTATATATTCTGAATAGAATTAGTTTTTACCTCTATGTAAGCACTTAAATAATATGCATTAAATGAACATAAAATGAAATTAATAATAAAAATAATAAATGCTTATATTCATATTGATTTATGAGTGTTGTCAGTTGGCACTTATGATACCTATACCTACCTGTAGTAGATAATAATAGATTTCTTTTCAAATGAAATGTTCAGTCTTTCCATTTACCTGTTTCTATATTACTATCGGTAATTAGGTATGTACCTGGTTATCAATATGATTTTCATAAAAATAAACAGATATTACATGGGATGGGAGTATAAACTATCTTTACATAATTTCAGAAATAATCTTTTTATAAATATAATATAAATACTAGTAATAAGTATTATTGACTAAGGTACCTAGTTCTATTTTTATGGTCGCCTATATTGCATTTATTAAGGTAAACAATCTTGGCACAACTTTTTAACAGAATCACCCGTTTAATAATAAAATATTAACGAAGCCAATAAACTATTAAAATAAATCGTTATTATAGACTGAAACCTATTAAATCTAGTTATCAGTTGATTTTTAATGCTGTATTTTCAATAAAAAGGAGTGCCAAGTTGGATGAACAGACTGTAGTATCTAGTAACAGAACTTTTATTTTTTATTTTCTTAAACCGTTTACAATGATTAATTGCTAATAAGTAAAAAAAATAATAGTGAAGGACATTCTTTTGGGCATGCTAGGGCCGATTTCGTCGATGTCCTTTTCAGTGTCGTTACGTGAAAGTTTTTTTAACCATTTTTTTTATTTTGTTTACATCCAAATGTGTTTACGGTATATATTTAGAACTTTATTTAGTTTATTATAGACATGTGGATATAAGAAGACATAAAATCTCTGTATATTATGAAGTTAGTCTTTGAATTTAGATTTCTATGACAGAAAGAATGAAATCTTCTGCCTTCAAGCATGGTAACCAGATAAGAGTGCTGTTTCACAACTATAGACAACAGAAAAAGTTTGCGTACTGTAAGAACCTCATAAAAGGCATGTTGCCGAAACTGGTAGTTTTTATATCATTTATTTTTAATGTTTTTGGATATTTTTTTGGCTTTTATTGTCACTTACAATTGTATACGTAATTAAACGTCAATTAAGAGAAAACCGCGTTTTAATAGTTTTCCTTATAAGGCATATAGTTCATCAGTGGGGAAACATATATTTTTATATCTTATAAAAAGTAAATATTTAAACTTCATGAACCAAACTACTTAAAGCTTTACAGCAAAAGCTGCCTGTCCACTTTGTAATTGATAAAAAAATATTAAAATAATAAACGTTCGACGTAGTAGGTTACCTTGAATTCCATCAGATATTGTAATGAGTTTGCCATGCTCTCGTCTCCAAGTGATTTGTGGCTGTGGAGATCCTTTGGCAGCACATGTCAGACTGACGGAAGCTCCTTCACGAACCGTCTGATCCGTACTCGTCCCGCGGTCCAAGATATCTGGTGGCACTGCCAAAGAAATAATGTAATAATACTTTGAAATTTGTTTATATAACCGTAGCGGAGTTTAACATAACATCAGAGGTATCCATCCATACCAACGCTGCAGTTGGAATTTGATAGGCCTAATTGGGTGGCATATAAGGCGAGCTGCATGCTTTCTTACCACCTTAGTGGTTTGTGGTAAAAACATCTATCAGATGATGCATGTATGATAATAAATTAATTTAATTTTGGGTCAGCATATCTCTCTTTTTTCGACCATTCAAGTTAGTGAAGGGCTTAAAGACCACTAACATAGCGGTCACTGAACAATATCTGCCTACAGAGAAGGGCAAGTTGTCGAAGAGAAGATGCAAACGGAAAAAATATTATTTGGCATATTGGTTCGGACATTGGGAAAGAATATAATATAAAACAGCCATATGCCCCAATAGTGGTGGAGTGCACACGCCGGGGAGAGCCGAGTCATACAATATGAGGAGCACAATTATCATATTCGTAAAAAGGTTTTGTCAACAGTAAATGAATCTTTAAAAAAATATGCTCTATTGTCTCCGCCCCACTGCCCGGCTTGGAAATGGATGTTTCCTAGTCTCTAGCCGGGCAGATAAAGATGTATTTGTTTATGATAATAATTGACTCACCCACAACATCCAAATATCCTAATTGACTCTTCATCGGGTCTGTGTTAATCTGGCACATGTACCACCCTCTGTCCGTCTCCCGCAGCTCCCGAATGTGGAGGAACCAGGTGCGGTGATCGCTGTGGGTCACGCCCACTCTTCGACTCCTCGAAATCACATGGTCGTGAATCGTGAGAATCGTCTGAGTGTCCACTCTTAACCACGCTACCTACGACAAACAAATCGATACAAATAAAATCGATTGAATCGATCAATAAATAAATATATTCAGTGGATATAACTCGTTAAAACTGTTTCTTTTTTCTCTTTATTGGATCACCAACAGTTACTACATCAATACATCTTATTTAATACAATTTTGCATTCAGTGTAACCACATTATAGGCGAACTCAACATGCATTACATTAAGCTTAAGCAGATATTATTTAATTAAAATTAAGTGTGTTTGTGTGTGTTTTTCTTTAAATATGTTTAAAAATATATTTATATATATTTTTATGAATTCGGAGGAAATATGTGACCATACAATTTGTTTCGCAATGAGATCACAGAGTCATGATGTATCTCGACAATGTCACTATATTTGTTTAAAGTATAGGATAATCTCGCAATGGGGAAGTTGGAACCAAGTACCGTTCTTCTCAAGGGTGGACAAAGAGCATCAATGGTAATGAGGCACAAAAATAAAAAAAGAAGAAATATACTTTGGTTATAATAATCTTAGACGAATTTTAAATGCCTAGGTTATGTGCCACCTTTTGTGGTCAGCGCTGGCTTGACTATAACTTACTTTTACTTATTAGCGTGAGTTGCACCAACTTATTTTTACCTTTAACTCAGTTCAGTTAAAGTACCGGTTAGGTAAAAATGAGTTGCACTATTTAACGATAGTCAAAATGAGGTCATAATTCGACAGAGACAATTTACTGTAAAAGCGAGGCCAGTCAGAGTTGAAAACTTTAACTTTAACCAGTTCTATATGCAACTAGGGATTGTAATCCCGCAGGTCATTCCATCCCGCGGGATTGATATGTGGGATTAATCAATCACGCGAGATCCCGCATCTTTGAAATTATGTTATAAAATCAGATTGAAACTACAGATTTTTGTGTAAAAATCTACTTTTATTAAAAATTTGTTACATTTAGCAACAGATTTTTTTTTCTATACTCGACACATCTATCGGCCCGCCTAGCATTTAATGTTTTGACGGTCTCTAGCTAAAAGTAAAGGAGAATGGTCATTTTACTATGGGAGTTGGGCTAGTTTTTTTTTCATTGCGTCTTATTGGAATAAGTGTTAAACAATAGGGAATCAGGTGTATATTGCGTAGGCAAAATATCATTAGAAACTTAAGTGGTGGTTTAAAGAAAATATTAAATTACGTAAGCATTTTAAGGTTCCGTCATATTTAGATTCGATTAAATTCGATATTTATACCATACTTAATTATAACTAGGTATACTTCTTTAAACTGTATTTAATTAGTTGTGACCTTTTTTCTTCTATTTTGGACTGGGAGTGAAACAAAAATTGAATGCACTTCGTAAAATCCTATCAGCGGACAGCGTATATTCGTAAACTGTTGTGTTGGTGAGCTGCTACCTATCTCTATTTATTCCAAACATCTCAGATTCAATAAATGTGGCGCTGTTGATGTGCGGTTATCTCAAGCTGCACCTTTGATGCTCTGTCAACCCAACAATGGATACAATATTATTTAAGGTTTAGTAATCAAAAATAAATAAGACAAAATATTTTAATAATGATATTTAACTATTTATTGATAACACATTTATCAAAATCGACATTTTACATACACACTGCCAGCATTTTCTTGTGTAACAACAGATGCCATTGAAAACAAAAATAATTGCAATAAACCAAGAGTCCAAATATCTCTGTCACAGAATCACTAAAGGACGGGAAGGATGTTGAGTCCAATTCTCTCTTTCCCAAAAAATAGTTAAACGGAGGATTACTCAACTCAATATTAGAACTATTCGGCCATAATAGACCAATGAAAACACAAATTCAATTCAAAAGTGAAAACTGTATGTAGTAAGTCACTCGGAACAAACAAACACAACTAGTACTGGAAATAGAGCTTGACAGCTACGTCCACTTGCTTATGGTATATTTCGATTCGATTCTATAGGAATCGATATCCTACACAATCGATTTATAAATGTTTTATTTTTCAATGCAAATAAATGCTTTAAATGTTCAAACCATAAGTTAATTTATATATGATTAAGTAATTATATATAACATAACTAATAACTTAAACAAAAATATATTCCCTTTTTTAATCTAAGAGTACTGCATACAAAAGTTTTTGTATGCGGTCTATTTTGATGAACAAAATAGTCCGCAGACAAGTTTTTTTTAGATGCAATGAAAGAGGTCAATCCCTGGTACAGTGAGATAGTCACAACACAGGTCTTACAGATAATAACTTTATGAATTTAATGTTATTTATCATGATATAATATTGGTAAAATCGTATCCATCATACAAACATTTGCCTCACCGGAATTTGAACCCAGGCCCTCTGAATAGCCGATTTGGGTAAAATAATCCATCCATCCATCCATACAAAAATCGAACAACTCGCATCGAAGACCACAAAGTAGAAAATTACTACGAAATAACGAATGATCATTTCGTAGTCATAGTAGTAGTTTTTCGAAGTCATTTACGGTGGTTGGTAAAAATGTTTCAGACTATTTACAATTGTTCTATGCCTCCAATTATAATAAAACGTTTTATTTATTCTTTTTGAAGTGAAACTTCTTTACGCACGCTTGCCTTTGGGAGTAAGCTGGCGAACGTAAGCGTTACAAAAAGTGTAATCGGGCGAGGCGAACGGGAGTTGAGTGGCGGATATAAGCAAGAGAAAACAGTGCGCGTGCACATTTTCTTTCTCTCTTCCTCTCATAGCCAAATACATTCCGTATATCTAAGCACAGTGCAGGCCTATTGTCTGTATCACAGTGTAGGAGCAAGAGAGAGCAGTGCGCGTGCACATTTTTTTTCTCTCTCCCTCTCATAGCCAAATACATTCCGTATATCTAAGCACAGTGCAGGCCTATTGTCTGTATCACAGTGTAGGAGCAAGAGAGGGCAGCGCGCGCGCACATTTTCTTTCTCTCTTTCTCTTACAGCTAGAATATGAAAGAAGTTTCACTTCAGTCGTGTGGTCATAAGCACAGTCGTTTTTTTTTGTTTAGAATATTTAAATAAAGAAATATAATCGATGTTTTTTCCTACGATAGTATCGACTAGGTGATACAACTTTTGTCTATGGGTATATGGTCTATTCTGTGGTTGAATTTTTATTCAGTTTAACAGCCATTTATTTAGTACTAGTGGCCCGCCCTCGCTTCGCTTCGGTGTAGAGCTGTAGTGTAAACTATAGTTTTTGTTCTCAGGCTTGTGCTATAAACAATGACTTTATTTATATAATTACACGCGTTATTGTGAGTCAACCATAAAAGATAGACATATGCTGTTGCGGGATATTTTTTAGACAATTTTATGTTAAATATTTCCGTTATACATGATTTCTATGTAACTTTAACCATTAAGGCTGCACACGCGACGGAAGCTTAAAAAATGGAGTAACTTCTCCCGTTTTCCCAACATTTCCCTTCACTACTCTGCTGCTATTGATTGTAACGTGATGAAAAGTATACTATAACCTGCCCAGGAGTATGAAGAATAGTTGTACCAAGTTTCGTTAAAATCCGTTGAGTAGTTTTTGTTTCTATAAGGAACATACACACAGACAGACAGACAGACAAAAAATTTACTGATTGCATTTTTGGCATCAGTATCGATCACTAATCACCCCCTGATAGTTATTTTGAAAATATATTTCATGTACAGAATGGACCTCTCTACAGATTTATTATAAGTATAGATTTTAAAAATCCGCTTAATATTTAAATAATAATCACATCATAGTATTATGCAGCGCTCCATCTATACTTTTTTATTTGATCTGAGATGTGACATCATTGAGGTGTCACGCTACGACGTCATGCTTTCGACGTTAAGGTGATTTAGAATTTATTGTTATACATATTTAGTAAAATTCCAATATTCCCCGTAAAGGTACATCAGTCGCCTTGGTGTAGCGCTGTTAACGCTTGCATTTTAAAAATGGATAAAGCGTTAGGTACAGCTTTTATACGTACTTACTCCGTACATATACCAATAGCCTGTAGCATGCCTGTAGGTAAATATAGAGCATAAATTAACATTAAATAGGTTATGTGTCCAACTGAAACTATTTGCATGTATTTAATATACCTTACATTAAAATAAAACTATTCTCTTCTGTCAAAACTTTTTTACTTGAACCGTGGTAAATGTTCAATACTTAATAACCGGTAAGTGATGAATTTCACAGTTTTATCACACCTGTCAAGCATTTGGAGTGACATATTTATAATTATGTAGAATAATAAAATTGAATCAGGTATCCTCATAAGGCAGGACAACAAAAACTGGATTTTTGTAGTTTACCCAGAATTTAAGATATTAAAAAATAAAATCATCTCAATAAAACTCACAGTAAAAACTGCTTAAAATTTTACTGTAGCTGCCTAGCCTATTCTTCTGTCGAAACACTGTAATTTTAAAATAACGAAAATTTTAATTACCTCAAAAAGGTATGTACCTACCTACAAGGCGAGTTTGAAAATTATAATTAAAAAAGTTGAAGCTCACATGCCGCGGTAAAGATGTGGGATGCGAATATTAATATAATAAAACGTTCGTTTTAATAAGTATTTTTAATAAATATAAGGGTAAGTGTTTATTGTTGAGCTTATGAATTTGATACCTAGTGCCTAATTCTCTCTGCTGGGTTTTGAATTGACATTCTTTTAATGAATGGTACATCACAAGCTAATCTATAAATTATTTTCTGATTCTCTAACCTTATTTTACCGTATTCAATTTCAATAGGATGTTAAATTAACGTAAAAATAACAACAACTCGTAGGTGTGTTTCGCTGCTAGAATTCCATAAGTAAAAAATAGTTATAGATATTATTTTATTTTATTTACATTAACTTCTGAAAGTCCCTCTTTAGCCTAATGATTACTGGAAGAGTAGAAATGGGCCTTTAGCTTTTCATTTGTCATATGTAAATGTAAGCAAATTTCATCAATAGATCATGGAAAGATAACATAAT